ATATATATATATATTTTATAACAAAAAAATATATATACAGCATAATTGAACCTTTCAATAATTGCTATCATATTCTATAAAATAGGATAAACCTTGGGTATTTGCTCACCTGCTGGGACTACAACGTCGCTTAGGTAAAGATACCTTTCCTCTGATTGAACAGAGTTATTATCCCAATCATCGCGAAATGGTAAGTAGAATTCATAAGTAAATATTTAATTAAAATTATCATTTCCCTGTATTCTTCAAAAACAAGTAATTATTGTCAGAAAAAATTACCTGGCACATCATTAGATTATCAAAATAATGTATGTAAACTATTATAATTAGAACATTCTTATAAGAACAACTCTTCTTATTATTATTTTTTTATTCTAAATGTTATATAACATTTACAAAAGTACTATATTTATAAGCTAAATTAAGTTATAAGTAAAAAATTTGCCTCTTTCCATTTGAAACTAAACATGCATATACATCTTTTATTAGCAATCTTTATATTTTGTACTAAATTTTGACCCATATAAAGTGCTTCTTAAAAATTATGCTATTGCATGCAACAATGACAGAAGTGAAAGCGATGATTGCGCTTATATAATGCAACACCAAAATCTACATGCATTTATAAAACTATAGTTTTATATAATCGGTGTTTTCATTTAATTAAATAATTTGCGAATTATGAATAATGATCTATGCAAACAACAAATATATACGCAGGATTATAATTTAGACCTAATATAATTTAGACCTAAATAAAATATTACAAAATATAAAGTACGAATAAAATTGTAACGTCTAAGTGTCTACATATAACAAAACGATAATTGGAATAATTTATATATAATGATACATAATATACAATTAACAATGTATATACAACTTGTTAAGAGAGAGAGAGAGAATAGTGGAAGTAGGTCATTCATATATATTTCACCGATGAAATGCATACCGGGTATCCACGCGTTTCAAAATACCTAAGCGATACAAACTTATTAATAATAATCGAATAATTAAGGGTTGGTTGCACCAACACGCACTGGTTAGGTCTATCAATAATTAACTAATACTTTTTGTCTGCGTTATAGCTAAACCAGTGAAACAGCTATAAACTATGGGATAAAATTAATGTTGTTGCTATCAAACTTAAGTCACAAATAATTTAACAAAAAATAAACATAATAAACGAGTCCATCTTAATTGAATTATTATAATATCACTTATATCGATTTTTTAATATAATCATTTCTACCCGGCACAATCATCAAAATCTAAATAAAAATTAATATAAAAATTAAAATCATCATTATAATCGACATGTATAATTGCATTTTTCAAAGATAAAGTGCTATCAGTCTACTTTTCAATAATAAAAATTTAAAGCATTGTTATTTTTAAAATAAATCCGATGATATTCGAAGACACTACTGAAAATCTAGAAGTAATAAACCGCTAACTGTTATTATTTTTAGTAATTAACGAACGAATAAAAAAACAAAGAATTTTTTGCCTCATGCATTTGTATATGTACGGTAACCGACTATTAAACTATCATGTTACTCAACTTATTTTGCGCAATATAGAAAAATGGTTTAGATCTTCCATTTTCATGTACTGCAAATATGCTTTTCCATTAAACTATCGCTATCCCACTTCGTCTCTCAGTGACTCAATCACGCGGTGTGTCCATCATTATGAAATTAACTGGCAGACACGCCGCTTGTTTTACAACCGATAAAAATTTCATTGCTTTCCGTCGCGAGGACTCGAGCAGAATGCGATACTAAAGTACTAATTAAGGCTCTCGTGACCTTTGCTGCTCGCGTTTACGCTGGTATTCCTTGATACAATTTTTGTACGGAACAGAGGGAACCCAAGAGCAGCCACTGTGTGACGCCATGCACACGCCGTATTTTTCTTGGCAATCCTGGGGGCCTGGTGTGCTTTCCCACAGACAATTCTTCCCGCCGCTGGACTCTAGCACGGCACCCTTGCGTCTCCAGTGTGTATACAAAATCTGCGATACAAAAACCAGGCGATTTTTTTCACGCCCTTTCTCACAATTTTATATTCTTAGACTTGTAAACTCGTGTCATGCAAAAGTCGGATAAATGCGCGGATATTCGCGTGTGTGCAGCTCTTTGCTCACGGATATGTATTTTTAGGACACTCCATTTTTGAGGAACATTCTTGACTGTAATAACTACCGAGATTTATAGCGTATATGATTCATTGCCTTAATTCTTTCACGCAGTGAGTGAGCTTGGCTTCGCAGAATCAGTTAAACCAAATATTTGATTTTCGTTTAATTTATACATCTTTCTTCAGTTTATCGCCAGATAGAATTCAGATTCAGATTCGAGCCAATTTATTTGTTACAAACTTTGTTTTCTTTAATTTCCAAAAACTTCCAAATATGGCATAAAAATATATTTATAAAATCAACATTCCTTATTACATTATTGGGAAAAATACAAAAATATTATGATAATTATGATTTTTAGCATCAAGATTTTAAAATATTGTCATCTATCTTGGATAAAATAATCCAATACTTACGTCGCATACACAGCCTTGTTGATAAAGTTGTCTCAATCCCTTGCGTTGTCTAGTGGTTGTATCAGCCCATCTTATCGAAAGCCCGCAGACTGATATTAGCGCTTTCCCTGAGATTATCCTTCCGTTTACAACATATGTATCGCCAACGTTCAGTGTCACTCCACACATCGAGTCCGTGGACGGTGTCCGTAAAAGGTTCTGCATCAGAGCCATGTCGGCCTTTGGGTTGGACTGCAAGAGGAAGAAGTAGGGGCGTACGGTTAAACCTAGATTGCATTTCGCGATGAACGCCTCTCTGCGTTCATGACGTCTCACGGTACATAATACGTACTTTGAACACTCTGTTTATCTTGACCTTGTAAGCGATCTCGTAATCGTTCACGGGGAGAACCTTTTTCACCCTCACCACGACGACTGCAACAAAAGAACGTCATTAACCTGTATGGCTGTTGACTTTTACGAAGGCTGGAAGGTGATTTGTGATGTTATTTAGTGCGCAATACTCGCATAATTTTACAAAAAAAATTATAATTCGTTAATTTAATGTTTTGAAAATAATTTATGGTTATTACACAAGATTCGATATATCGACATGCAAAATCCTTTCACTGAAATATTGTCATATTAACAAGAATAAGATGTTATTTCAAAGAATATAAAAGAATAGAATATAATCTATTAATTACAATAAGTAATAAATAACAAAATTCAAATTTATATTTTTTGTGCTATATCACATTAACAATAATCAAGAATTGAAGAATGTTAATGAATATGTAATTATTGTCGTACCAAAATCTGATTCACAAAATTTGGTTTGCGGATGAGCCTGCGCACAGCTGCATGCTGCGACTTTCTGCATCGGTGCTAACAACACAGTTAGCAGCAAGAGATATGTCCATATAAGTAATTGTCCCATCTAAAGAAAAAAAATATGCGTTAGTATGAACAAATAAAATAATGCTTATATGTCCAATGATTTGCACTTTGATCATTCAACCGCATCAACGCGCACAATTTTTGAAAGCACATTTATTTAACAGTAGCATATATTTAACAGATGTCAAGGTAAGATGTAAATATAATTTAATCACCGTGAGATAAATCGCGCGTAATACGATGCAATGAACTGCTACGTATGCGGAAAATCCGTTTATCCGCGAAATCCGGTTGCAAACTTTTAAGTTATTCAAGGAATTCTTTATTTGTGTATATAGTGAAAGATGCTTGATATTCTTGACATCTAAACTGTGAAATTTCTTTTGAGATATAATTTAAAAATAAAAAATGAAGTAACCTAGTTTTCGGTAATTTTCATTATAAGAGTAATATTATTATCACTTGATAATAATTAATATTACTTCACTTAATAATATGCTAATTATCAAAAATTTAGCAACTAATTATTGTGCTGCAATAAATTATTGTGCAAATACACACTTTACAGTTTTATATTCAGATCACTGTACATAAAAATGTATAAGTTTCAATACGCGTAAATAAATATTGTCTATAAATATGTAAAGATGATTAATTAAACACAGTATTTGTTTTTATTCAAGTTATGAGTAATTGTAAATTATAATACATTGTATGATTAAACTGAAAGGATTTTAGTTTAATAATTAATAAATATATCCTGCTTGTTTTAATATAACAATATACAAACATTAACAAATATTAAATATTATTACATGAAAGTTTTAAAACATTGATCACAGGTAACATTTCGTTAGCTAATAAAATCCAATAATCTTTTCAATAATTTTGAAGTGTATATGAAAAAACCATATACAGTTTTTTTTCGGTAAAAGATAGAAAATTCACACAAGGAAGTGCGTTAACCGCTTCCGACCTAGTTTATTGTCGCCAGCTGAACGTGATCTAAACATAGCTGCAAAATGGTAACCAAAGTCAAACGCGATCTAAAAACACTTTGCGGTCCAAAATGTCTCATTAAGACACACTCTATCGTTTTAAAGAAAGTAAATATTCTGAAAATCTAAATGATAAATAACTTGCATCAATTGCAGTAACATTTATTATTAATATTATAATTATATTAATATATAATAATATAAATATAGTTATATTAATATATAATAATATATTAATAATAATATTAATATATAATAATATAGTAATATTAATGTTTATTCATTATAATAATATTAATGTTTATTTATCTGTATTAAAATATTTTCTGAAAAGAATTTTCTTGATTAACAAATTATTACATTCTTTAAAATGAATTATCAAGCACGATTTGTTTGTTGATATTCTTAATATATAACAAAAATTGCTTTAATGATAGAAATTATTATATTATTTACAATTATTAGAGAAGAATTCTTATTTTTTATTATAATTATAATAATTTTTTATTATTCTTATAAATATAAATTTAAAAAATTGTTTACTTTTCATTCTTTTTGTTAAAAAAAATTCCTAATAAAATTATTCTTAGGCATAGTGTAGTAATGCATAATGATCAATTTACGACTTGAAAAAATCTGATAAACCCACAAATAGACTAAAGATTTATACGAAATGGAAATTATATTTTCTTTTGTTTGGCATAACAATATTCTGCTACAAATTTGCTGTAAACATAGAAACATGTAAATTATTGGATTCTACTTGATCATCGACATATTGTATTCCGAGTTTTGCAAGTTACATTTATGGTTTTTCATCGCCGATCCAATTTGCATGGAACCTTTGTGTCTGTTCATCTTTCCCCGAGTAAATCTCTGAGATCCGTTGCGATATATCATAGAAAGACAAGGGCGCAGTTATTGCTATTGTAGACATATACGAGTACCAGTGACAATAGGGAAATCCAGTGTATTCGCTACTACGATATATCATCATTGCGAATCCGCCCTATTATTTTCATAGATTCGTTTGTCGTAGTATCAAGATTACTAACTGTAATAATATAGAAAGAAAAATATTTTTCTTATACAAATGCATTCTTATTAAAAAAATTGACAATGATAATAAAAATTTAAATAAATTATTATTAAAATAAATTTGTCTCAGTTTATGTTTATTTATCGAAAGAACATTCGAAAGAAAACAATCGAAAGAAAACGTTTCTTGATACACTTTGTGTGTGATATATATGCGGATCTGAACAACGCACAATGTCGTAGGTAGAACCGATAATCATCATTTGCGTTTATGCGAATTTATTGTCTCAATTTGTTCTCGATTACAGTAAGGTTTCAAAATGGTGTTTGCCTGCAGGAAAATTTACCGATCACATTTTAAATAGCAGTATAATCAATAAAATGTATGTGTGTGTAAGTGTGTGTGTGTGTGTGTGTGTGTGTGTGTGTGTGTGTGTGTGTGTGTGTGTGTGTGTGT